GCAGGGCGGGAAAGAGGACCAACAGAGCCAAGACTAGAACACGATGATGATAATGTATAGAAACACACACACGCACAAGACCAACCAATTGCAAAGAGACATCTTGAGAAATTTATTATAGATTGGATATTGGATTATTGCTCATTTTCTTGGATGTGATAGTGGTGCTGCAGTTGATAAGAAAATGTTCAGTGTTGGTGGGAGGATGCACAGCTGAAGAGTATAGGGTGAAATGGCACGATGTTCGAGGTTCATTTTAAAGTATGTAGTTCAGCAAAAGGAAAAAAGAGAAAGATGAAAGAAATGTACTTTAGGCAAAGATGCAGGCAAGATTTCAAGATAAAGTCTTTTTTAAAAAAGATTTTGTTTATTTATTTTTGAGAGAGTGAGTGAGCATGAGCAGGGGCGGGGGGCAGAGGGAGAAGCAGGCTCCCCACTGAGCAGGGACCCCAGTGAGGGACTCGATCCCAGGGCCCTAGGATCATAACCTGAGCCGAAGGCAGACGCTTAACTGACTGAGCTACCCAGGCGCCCTCAAGACAAAGTCTTGAAAATTTTTGAGTCTGGGAGATAAACAAATCCAGGAGTGGATTTGCTAAGTCTTGTGTCTATTATTGTGTATGTATTAAAAATTCCATAATAAAATGTAAAACAATAATCAATGACATCCTTTCAAGAACGTGCCCCCACAAAAAGATACATGTTCAACTTTTTAGAGTAGTTGCCTATGGAGGGAGAGTAAAAGAGGAGCAGGGGATGGAGACAAAAGGGAAGGAAGGAAAGAAGGAAAGAAAGGAGAATGGTCAGGAGCGCCTGGGTGGTACAGCATCTGACTCTTGGCTTTGGCTCAGATCACAATCTCAGTGTCTTGAGATGGAGTCCCCTGTCGGGCTCAGCGCTCAGTGTGGAATCTGCGTAAGATTCTCTCTCTCCCTCTCCCCCTCCCCCCTGCCCCACTCTCTTTCTCTCTCTCAAATAAATAAATCAATCTTAAAAATGGAAGAAAGAAGAATGGTCAATGGTAATCTACCCTGAATTGAGGATGATGGATTTAACCCTTCACACCAGGGGTCCAGACGCAGGAGGGGAAAAATCGATATCCCCTATAACTCTACCACAGCGGCATTTTCATTTCTCCTGTCTAAGCCTCTAAGCTTCATTCCTGTGCACATCTGTTGGTGGGAGGCTGTCACCTTGAGGGTCACAGTACTTCATGCCTTGCTTAAGAAACAAGAATAAACATTTTGCTTACTAAATGCTAGCACTGGGCTAGGACCTCGAGGTATATGATTTCGATTTATCCTCTCAGTAACACTGTGAAGTATCATTACCTCCATCTTACAGATGCAGAAAACTGAGCTCAGAAATGGGTTGTCTGTCCATCTCCTACTAAATCACAAAGCTGGAATTCCAAACTCATTGACCTCGGAGACCCAGGATCATGTGATTACACCAAGCTGATCCAACAGCTTCTTCATCATCATTATTATTTGTTTGTTTTCTAAGTAATCTCTATGCCCAGTGTGGGGCTCCAACCAACAACCCCAAGATCCAGAGTCCAGTGCTCTACCGACTGAGCCAGCCAGGTGACCCTCATCATTATTATTTGTAGGACCCACCCTAGTGGTCTATTATATTGAGGTAGAGTGATTTACTGTAATTTACCACTCATCTTACTTAGTATTTGGCCTCTTCCTAGTTTTTTGCTTCCACAGACAGTCCTGTAAAGAATATCTTCAGGTATAGGGGTCAGCTCAGTTGGTGGAGCATGCAACTCTTGATCTCAGGTCCTGAGTTCGAGCCCCATGTGTGGAGTAGGTTTTACCTAAATTAAAAAAAAAAAAAGATATAAAAAAGAATATCTTCAGGTATAGAGTTTTTAGATTCTGTTGAATTATTCCCTTACCTGGAGTGGGGTTATACTTTGTGCTCACACAAAAGTGTGGACCTCATTCCAGCAACCAATTCACAGTGATGTGGTCTTCAATAGGGGTTGAACAAGGGGCACCTGGGTGGCTCAGTCGGTTAAGCATCTGGACTCTTTTTTTTTTTTTTTAAAGATTTTATTTATTTAGTGGAGAGAGAGAGAGTGAGAGAGAACATGAGAGGGGAAAGGGTCAGAGGGAGAAGCAGACTCCCCACCAAGCAGGGAGCCCGACATGGGACTCGATCCTGGGACTTCAGGATCATGACCTGAGCCGAACGAAGGCAGTCGCTTAACCAACTGAGCCACCCAGGCGCCCAAGCATCCGGACTCTTGATTTCAGTGGTGATCTCAGGGTCTTGGGATCAAACCCCTTGTCGGCTCCTCCGTGCTCAGTGGGGAGTCTGCCTGAGATTCTCTCATTCTCCCTCTGACCTTTCCCTGGCTCATGTGTGCTTGCCTGCTCTCTCTCTCTCTCAAATAAATACATCTTTTAAAAAATGGGGTTGAATGAGTGAGCAGGATTTAAAACTGCAGAGATTTTGAGGGAGTGTGTATGTATTGGGGGTGGGAGTGGGGCAGGACAGCTCTCAGAGGAAATGCAGGGGGAGTGGAGAGAGTGGGTCAGGGCATCTGTGGGGGCGGGCAGGAAATGCAAGGGGAGGAAGGCCTCAGGACAGGCAGGAAGTCGATGGGATTGAATTCCGCAGCCTTCACACTTCCCCTAATGCCTTCCCGGGTCAAGGTGGCCAATGAGGTTCTGGCAAGCCCTGGGGACAGGCCAGCTGCTGCAGGGACATGAAGCTGCTGCACGTAGGAGTGGACAGCCGGGACTGCTCTCCCTGGGGCCAAGGTGGCTCTCTGGCCCTTGGGCGGCTGCTCTGGGCAGCCCGGGAGGGGTCAGCTGGGGATAGGCAGCAAGTAAATATAGATGCAGGGAAGGAACCAGGCGGCCCAGGCCTGCACTGACCTCTTGCTGGAAGGCTGAGAAGGGTGGGGAGGGGTTAGGTTCCGGCAGCCTCCTCTTCAGGGCTGAGTGACCCCTGGGCTCAGCAGCCCCCTAGAATTGCCGGAAGCAGCTGGTCCTCCATGGGGACCAGAGTGAGGGCTCGTGGAAAGGCTGGTGGTGAGGTGCTGCTCCTTTGTGACGGAGGGCAAACCGCATTCCCTCCCTGGTGGTCCCCCTCAGAGGCGCTGCCCTGCGGGATGAGTGCAGGTGAAGGCGCTGACCAGCCCAAAGGGACGTGGGGCCCACAGTGCAGGGGGCTTGCTTCTTCTGAAGAAGGATGTCTGGAGTGTAAACGTGTCTTCCCTCGCTCTCCCACCCTCTCACTGGCGGCTGGCCCTCTCCACCCCAGGACTCCGGGCCCCCAGTTCTGGCCCAACCACCAGAGACACTGCCACCCCCCAGCCTGGCTCTCCCTGCCCCCACCCCGGTCACAACTCTGGCACCAGCACCCCCCATGCATGCCGCGTCCACCCGGTCCAACCAAGACCCCTTAGCTCCCCCTCTCCGGCTCTGGGAGGGAAAGGCCAACAAGACAATCACTCCACCACAGACGTGTTTATTGGCAAAACCTATAACCAAGCATCAAGGGGAAGGGTGATAGCAGAGTGGTCTTTCCACTTTCCTTAGCAGGGCTCAAGGAGCGGGGGTGGGGGGGGTTGGGGCGGCATCCCAGTGAGGATAACCACACCAGCAGCTAATGTTTACAGAGCGCTTCCTCTGAGGCCTGAGGTCAGGCTGTGCTAAGCATGCGCTTTACTGTCTCATTTTATCCTTACAACAATCCTACAAGGTAGGTACCATTATCGTCCCCACTTTCCTGATGAGGAATCTGAGGCATAGGACGGTGAAGTGGTGAGAGGCAGCTGTCAGCCTTCAGGGCTGCACCTGAGAGCCTCCCGTCAGGGGCCCCCAGCCCCTGGTTCTCCGTTTCAACCAATTCTCACCACTTCCAGTTCTTTCAGCTCTTTTTTATATTTTTGTTTTGTAAAAAAATAGATTATGCCCATACTCTGCAGAGCCCACTGGCCTTTACCCCAGTTGATCAAATCTGGGTTCTCCCCAAGATTCAGCTGGGGTGAGATCGTGGACAGCGCGTCTCAAACTAGAGGCCTGGGTGTTTGTGTGAAGCCAGAGTACAATCAGAGCTCTTAGAAAATACAATCAATAAATTACAAACCTCCTTCCCTTCCCCACCCCGTTTCCTCCCACCCCCCCATCCAAATCTAGAACAGACTGTGCATTGCCCCCCACCCCCCCCACCCTGCCCCATGTCAGCGTCTCGTCTCAGTTGCCTCTGTATCTGCGGGGTCCGGGGGCCCTCCATAAATGTTTGTGGAATGAATGAATGTGTGAATGGGAGGAGGGAGTGAGCACTTTGGAGTCCTGAGTCCCAGCCTTGATTGTATCCTCACCTGCACTTTGCTCTCACCAGGACACCTCCCTCTGCCCCAGAGAAGAGGGTCCCCGGGATGGGGCTAGGAACAGAGAGGGGGAGGTGGGGAGTCAGCAGGGACATCTCTAAGCATGGGAAGGTGGGTGACTGAGGTAGAGCATAGGGCTCTGGCCTCGGAGTCAGGAGACCTGGTTCAGATCCCAGCTGTAAGGCTCAGGAGCTGTGTGACCTTGGGCCGGCGGGAAGAAGAATGATGACTACCATAAGATAGTCCTTTCAGAGTTGACAAGGCCCCTTTTTCACATTTATCTTTGGTCCTCAGTAACCATCCTGTAATGTGGGTATTATTATAAATATACCCATTTTACAGAAGAGGAAGCAGAGGCTGGAGAAGTCAAGGGACTTGACAAGGTCACACAGCATGCAGGAACTTGAACCCCACCCCCTCTACCTCCCTTGCTACTGCCCCTGTCTTCGCTGTGAAGAGGTTGGCTCAGATCTAAGTCCTCCAGCTTGGGAGCCCCACGTGGCAGTGTGGTGGCAGGAGAGACTGCACAGTGAATTCCCCGACGTAGACCCTGCTGACCATCTCCAGCCATAAAAGCTGGTTTACCCCTCACGGAAGGGTTTCTAGGCACCCCTTCCATCCCCCACCCACAACCTCGGGGCTCCAGTTCCTACCCCAGGAGGAATCTGAGAGTCCATGAGATACCCATGAACTTCTGCTTTTCCTGGGAGAGTGGGGAAGTGGGAGGGAGGAGGGAGCTTGGAGGCCCATGCCTTCCCCTCACACGGGCATGGTCACCTCGTTGTATTCATCCCGACCCTCCTCTTCATCGAAGGTCGGCTTGGCATCGTCAGCGTCCAGCTGGAGGGTAGAATAGGAAGGAGAGAGGGTGAGCTCCCGGGGAGGGCTGGGGCAGATGAGCCCTCCCCCCAGTACCGAGAGCATCTCTGGAATGAGGAGACAGCCTGGCTCTCACTGGACCTTGGACAAGTCATGTCCTGCCCTCTCAACCCCTAGGTTTGGTCTGGATGAGTTGTTTCCAAAGGGTGAGGGGCCCCTGGGGATGTGGCGCCCCGACAGGGGAGGGCCTACAGAGGGTGGGCAGGACACCCCTTCACCAGGGTAGCCCCACGGCAACTCTCACACCGTGGGAGAATTCCAAAATGACTCAGAAAACCACAGGCTGAGTTGCTCCACAGTTAGGACAGCTCACGGGGAACACACCCTGCACGCTTCTTAACCCCTCCCTGCCCCCAAGCTCTGGGGTCCGGGCCTCCTGCCTCTGCCCTTTCTTTGCCCTCCCTCCTACCCCTAGTCCGCAGGGTAAGGGTGGGGAGCAGCCACGCACACACTGGAGCTCCAGCGTCCTGAAGATGAGCGGCAGCAGGAGGCGGCGCAGAGGCACCGTGAGGATAAGGACGAAGGGCAGGGCCAGCGAGGCGCTGGGGAAGGTCTTCACCGTCCACAGCCCTGCCAGGCAGATGATCTGGATGATCGTGAACAAGTGCATGCGCCAGGTCTTCACCTGCAGGTGGAGGTGGGGGTTACTGCCTGCCCCGCCCTGGGGCCTGGCAACCCCCCCACACACACTCGGGGCTGGGCAGCCAGGAGGGCTCTGTACCCGCTTGACGTAGGGCACATCTGGGTGGTACTTGGACGGCTTGAACAGAAGCAAGACGCGGTCAAAGAGCTGGATGCCGCTGAGGGACGTGACCCCCATGTAGAGGAAGATGCCAAACAGCACAGCCAGGGGGATGCGGGACAGGATGGGCCCCATGAGGATGGACAGGCCTGCAGGGAGAACCACGAACTCTTAGCCCTGGGGGCCAGGGGGGCGGGGGCCCAGAGGGCTGACAGCATCAGGGGCTGGGGAATGAAACCACAGGTACCACATGAAGCCCTTTCTGTGGATCCTCTTAATAGGTATTACCCCATTTTGCAGATGAGGAAACAGATTCAGAGAGGTGAAGCAACTTGCCTGAGGCCACACAGCTACTAAGTGGCAGATCAGGGAGTCAAACTCCTGCCTGCAGGACATCAAAGCCTATTCCTTTAGCCTCAGGGGTTCACAGAGGTCAGAGAAGCCCAACTTTTCTATCACCCCAGCCCAGAATGCCTCCGTCCCCCTCCACCTATCCAAACCCTAACCCTCCTCCAGCTAACACCAACTTCGCCTCCTTTAAGAAACTTCCCTGGCGACTCCATCAGTGACCATGGCGCAGCCCATACTGAGCCCGGCTGGACTCTCAGCTGCTCCAGAACTTGGATCTACCCCAGTGATCCTCTGTCTTCTCCTCTCCCACCCCAGATTATGCTCGGAGCTCTGCCCTTGGCATCAGTTACAGAGCAGCCAAGCTAGAGAGACCTCAGGGGCATCTAATGAACCCGCTAATGGCACAGAGAAACTGAGGCCCAGGATGAGGAGGGATACTGAGTCAGCAGCAGAGCAGGGCTGGAACCCACTGTTCACTAAGCTTATGTTGGATAAAGCTTGAATACCGGGTCCTATCTAGAGAAGGCCTCCGTATGGAGCCCCCCTTCCCCGCGCCCACTTCCTCCCCTGCTCAGATGTCTATCTCTGTGCCTGGGCCTTGGGCATTTCCTCCAGAATTCCCTCATATGAACAAAGGACCCTGGGGAGACATGGGCAGGGGGTATGTGGGGAGAGCCAGCTACGAAAGGGTGGGCAGGGCTTCAGAAGGCCCTGGATCCTAAGAGGCAGAGGCTGGGGGCCAGAAGCAAGGCTAGATGCCAGAGAGTGTGGCCAACCCTTACTCACCTACGAGCACAGCAACCAGGAGCCCACTGATCCGCTGCTCCTTGACCTCCTGAATCTGGGCTGCGGCCCCTGGGGCGCTGGCCTTGCCCATGACAGTGAGCGCGTTGGCGTGGGTGACAGAACGAACAGTGGTGGCACTGAGCCAGGGCATCCCAAAGAGGGCAGCCACACCGCCCATGCCTATGACCAGCAGCAGGTCCAGGTGGAAGCCAGAGCCCTTGATCATCTTGCGCTCTGGTTTGCTGATAATCAGCCTTGGGGGGTGTGGGAGGTCAGGGGTAAGCAGCGGTCTCCCTTGCCCCCACCCTCTTTGCCCCCTCCCTCCTTCTCCATACTTGGGTCCCTCTGTATCTTAGTTTACCCTGCTGTGTTCCTCTCCCTTGGAGTTCCTTGCTCCCCTCCCTCCCACCCTCTCTGGAGAATCCAGACTCTAAGAGTAGAAGGATCTCAAGATATCCCCTAGAACGTCCACAGGTAGATTTACGCTGAAGCCAATGAAGCTGAGCTGGTAAAGATCCCTTCTGAGGTACGCCACCTCATTTTGCAGTTCTCATTTTGTATTCTTTTTCTTAAAAAGGCCTCCCCAAATTATACCCTGTCAGGTCCCACAGAACCTGCCCCTGCCCCTGCCCCTGCCCATCCATCACTCCTGCTCATGAGGAGGGCCCCAGGTTCGACTAAGACTAGCACTCAGTCCTTGCTGTCATGTCTGCCTGGAGCCTGTCCTTTCCCTGCCCCAGACCCTCCCGGGCCCAGCTCTGCCCGTGGCTCTTACGTGGTGATCTGGGACTCAAGGAAGATGAGGATGAAGACCAGCATGGCAGGCAGGGCGGAGGCAAACATCATCCCGATGGGGAAATGCGAATATATGCCCAGTGGGTGGATGACCCAGCCCCGGGCTGAGGAGTTGGACACTGAGAGGCCTTTAGGCACACTGAGTTTCTGTGGGAGGGGGATTCTGGTGAGAACACTGGGGCAGGAGAATAGGGGAAGGGAGGCAGGGAGAGCCAGGGTCCTGGGCACTTGGGAACTTACTTATACTGAGCACCTACTTTGTACCCAGTCACTGCACTAAGCCCTTTACATACATCTTCTCATTCCCCACTTTATAGATGAGGAAACAGGATCAGAGAGGTTGTGTCGTTTGCCTTGCATCACACAGCTATTTGGTGGCAGACCTGAGATACATAATCAGATCTGCCTGGCTCCAAAGCAGATTCTTTCCCACTGCCCTGGGTTAAGGAGTAAAAAAGGCAATTTGACCCAGGCCCTTGCTTCAGCCAGAGGGGTCCTGTAGGGCTGTGGGAAGAACTTGGGGCTCTCGGGGGAGGCAGGGATGAGTAAGGAGAGTTCTAGTTGGCTTCATGTTTGGGAAAGCTGTTCTTGGGAGGGGGCATACTGGGAGAATCAGCTGACAGTAGGAGGAGAGTGTCACCTGGGTGTAGGTGTCCTCGATGAAGAAATCCACCATGACCATGATCAGAATGGAGATGGGGACCCCGAAGTCCCCAATGACCCGTCGCAGCTAAGGGCAGGTGGAAAAACCCGGTCAACACCCAGTTGTTTCCCCACCTCCTGCCTCCCACTTGCCCCCACTCCTGCCGCCTCTTCATGCAGGGGGGGGGCTTGCTCTTCCCAGGGGACCCGTCAACATCTAATGCCTTGTCTTGCACCTCAAGGTACCTGCCTCCTTTCTTCTTTCCCTGGCCCAGCCCCACCGCCGGCCCCACAGCTTCTCCACCCCTTTCTAAGAACTGTCCCTGGCTCCCCACTAGGTTCTCAGCCTGGGTAGGCTGAGAAAGAGAGATGGGCTTGCCTGAAGAGTGAAAGCCTAAGTGAGGAGGGGGTCAGGGAGGCTTGGAATGGGGAATGGGAATCTAGGGTAAGAAGGAGAGCTAATGGCATTGAGGAACCTGGAAGAGTGCTTTGGACTGGGACAGGACAGTGAAGGCAAGAGCAGGGCTGTGGGGGGAGAATGTACTGACCACGCCAGGGAAGTAGGAGCTGTTCTTGAACTTTCGCAGCATCATGGCGAAGAAGAAGGTGCCAGCCATGAACACAAGGGAGAGGAGGGCTGTGTTGGGCAGGGGACCCTGAGGTTTGGGCACCACTGTCACATTGTGGTCATAATGCTTCTGAAGTGGATGGTCCTGGAAGATCTGCAGCAGAAAACCAAGGCATCCTATTCTTCTCATCCATCTATCAGTCTGTCCATCATCTATCCATCCATTCATCCATTTGTCCATCATCTATCTATCCATCCATCCATTCATCATCCACCATCCATTCATCCATCATCCAACCACCCACCATCCATCCATCAATCTGTCCATTATCTATCTATCTATCTATCTATCTATCTATCTATCTATCTATCTATGCATCCATCCATCATGCATGCATCCATCCTCTTATTTTCTTCCTCAACCGACAGGGTAACAGAGGGACAATGGGATTCACGAGCTTGGTTTTCAGGAGTGGAGACCAGGCTCAGCTTGGGTGGGGCAGGCCACGGTGGCAATGAGTATACGTGTGCATGTGAGCACGCAGGGTCTCAGAGACATAAGGCAGGTGGGCAGGAAAGAAGTGCCAAGGATGGGGTGCCTGGGTGGCTCAGTTGTTAAGCGCCTGCCTTCGGCTCAGGTCATGATCCCGGGGTCCTGGGATCGAGCCCCGCATCGGGCTCCCTGCTCAGCGGGAAGCCTGCGTCTCCCTCTCCCACTCCCCCTGCTTGTGTTCCCTCTCTCACTGTCTCTCTCTCTGTGAAATAAACAAAGAAAATCTTTAAAAAAAAAAAAAAGAAGTGCCAACGAGGGTCCTAAAAAGGGCTTCAAAGATTTGGAAACAGCAAGCCCCACCAACCAACAGAATCAGAGGCAGACATGCAGCGTCCGCCCTCCCTCCATATCCAACGCAGATGTCCAGGTAGGCATAGTTGAAGGTGCTGGAGCTGAGGAGGCAGGGTGCTCCACCCGCAGGCCCCGTGCTTCTTGAGGGTGAGTGCCAAAGGGGGCGGGGGGGCAGCAGAGCCTCTGCGACCCCTGCTGCCCCTCCATGAACGCACTTTCCCGTGTTCAGTCTCGCACACACACTCGCCTGCGGTCACTCTGGGCGTGGTTGTGACCCGGACATGCGCACACGAAGGCGCCCCCCCCCGCCCCCCGCCCCGCCTCGGGCGCAGGCGCTCTCCGCGGTCATGGCCAGAGTACCGGCCCAGAGGCAGCTGGTGTCCACGTGAATGTGGTCACAGCCACACACGATGAAGACGCGGCCACACACGTGCCATAAGGACACGTGTGCAATGACACGCACGGCCACATCGTTTGTGCACAGAGTCGCACACACACGTGCGTCCGCACTGCCACGGCCCCCACCTTGATCAGCTTGACGAAGGTCTCATAGATGAAGATGAGGGAGATGAGGAAGGAGAAGATCTCTTGGGTGTAGCGGGAGATGAAGCGGACCAGGAAACTGCCCTCGAAGGCCACTATGAGCACCACGAACAGGACCAGCCAGAAGCCGATCCACACGCGGCCCACGATGTACTCCAGGTTGTAGCTGGTGCAGAACTGCAAGGGGGTCAGAGAGGCCTGGGTCAGGCAGGTGGGCCCAGGCACCGTGCATCAGGCAGGTGGGGCCAGGGCCGGTTACAGGGTCCGAGTGGGGCCAGAACAGAGCTACCGAGAAAAAGGCTTCTTCAAACACGAGCAGGGGTCCTGAGAAGCCAACCACAAGCAGGGGCTGAGCCGCGAGCAGGGCGAAGAGAATGCCCTGCACCGCAGTGGAGATGAGCAGCTCCGACACCCCCATCTGGTTCTGGGTCTTTTCTCCTGTGGGTAGAAGTTACAGTGTGGTCAAGGTCAAGAGGTCGTTTCCAGGCTCTAATAGAGCATTTCACGGGCAGGCTATGGTAGGGGTCCAGACTGTCCCATTGGGTCAGAAGGCAGGGCCGACACAGAGGCCAAGGGGTCAGAGGTGAGGGTTAGGGGGTCATGCAGAGGCACTGACCCAGGAGGCCGCCGAAGGTGATGGCAGGTGACAAGGCAGCAAAGTAGATGAAGATGACAGCAGCCAGGACCTGGGGGCTGAACGCGTCTGTGATGTCACTCAAGTAGTGGGGGTAGCGGCGCCGGATGTCACGCACCAGGCCCCCAAAGAGCAGGCCTGTCCGCTGCAGAGGGTCGTCTGGCCCAGCAGGGGCCCCTGGGCCCCCATACAAATCTGTAGTCAAGGACAGGACCATGATCACAGGGGGTCACGGGAGGAGGCGTGGGGAGAGAGGAATCGCGGGGAGAATCTTCTGATGGGAACCAGGTGGCCATGGAGGCTGGGAGGCATGAGGACAGAGAGGGGGGACCCTGGGGTGTTGGATGGGAGGAGGGGAGGCAGGGGCTCGCAGGGCCGTGCTGGGGTCTCCGAGGGTCTGTGGGGGCTGCGGGGCAGGTACCCAGACCCTTGTAGAAGCGGGGCTCAGGCTTGGCGGGGCTGAGCAGGTAGCGCCTCCGCAGCAGCTCCTTCTGCAGGGGCACCAGACTGAGCAGGGCCTGCTCGGAGGGGGCTTCGCAGGGAGGCAGCACCAGGCTGCAGTCCAGGAAGCCCTCCAGGTTGCGGACCAGCTCCGCCTTGCTCTGAGCCAGGTAGGCATCTGTGCGGAACACCTGGGGGCCAGAGAGAGGGTCAGGGCTGCCGGGACCCGCTAGACGAAAGGACCCAAGAGTCCACATCCACGGCCTCCGGGAACCAGAACCCTCTCTCCCAGCTCCTTCTTTTTTTTTTTTTT